GTTCAACACTCGTGATGTTTCTCTTCTTTTAAAATGTGTTTTCTTTGCTCAATTTTAATTGAGCGAAACAAAGAAAACATTGAAATGTGAGGAATTCAAAACATTTGAAATACTTTGCAAACAGACATTGTTAATCTCATTTTATTTTGGATGAAATGTTTAAAATATCAGAAATAACATCACAAATAGAATTATTGATCAATCATTTAAATAAATATGAACTAAATTTGTTGATATTGAAATTATTGCTATTATATTTATAATATATGTAAAAAATATAGTTAAAATAATCAATTGGAAACTGTATTAATCACAATAATCGTCATCTGGATCTTCGGCAGGTTTGGAGCTTTCTTCTGGTTTTTCCGAAGACTCGGCTGGTTTTTGGTCTCCTCCAAAGTCACCAGGTTCTCCATTGCAGTCAGCTACCTCTTGGAATGAAAAGGCACATGGGTTGAATGATGACGAACCGCATTTACATTGCAGTCCACTTGCGCATGTCATTTTCGAACCATCGAGGTGGTTGTGACACCACACGAAGTTAGATCTATCGGTACAGTAAAATCCAATAGCCTTGTTTGCACAGAAGTATTCAGCAACACTTCCAAAAATGAGCAACATAATTGCTATCATGTCTTGAATTTCCCTATACTTTCTCCGCCCAAAAATATTGTCATTTTGCCTTCTCAATCTTGTGAATAAAAATGACAATATGATTTGATATATATAATATAACAATTTATTATAATTTAATAATTAATTTTATTAACTAAATTATAATAAATATACTATAAATATAAACTATCAATGGATTTTCAAAAATATCTTAGACAGCGGCTCTTCCCACACACTGAGTCTTTCCATCTGCATACTCTTCTCCAAAGAAACCAGACTTTAACAAGTAGTTAACGGAGTGTTTCAAAGATTCAGCATTCTCTGACAAGTCAAATTCGATAGTGTCGAGCCATCCAGCCTGTGAGTTAACAAGTCCAGTGACTTGTAACGATGGAATCAATGATAGGACTTCTTTATTTCCGCACTTTGCAATTTCAGCAAGTTTTGCTTTGACGTCTTCTATTTTGAGGTTTTCGATTTTCACTTTGAGGATGTCAGCAAACAGAGTGCAGATGTCGTGAACTTGAGTTGGAACTTTTGGGACAAGATTTGCTGCAATTGGTGGGTTAGGAATTGCTTTAACAAAAGCCTCAGCAACCAAATTGACTGGCGTCATCATTAGGGTTTGACTGTCGACGGTGATCCCATTTTTCACTAAGACCCTGATGTATTTCCATATGAAGTCATCAGTGTTACAACACCCACTCTTCGAGTTTCCTGTGATAAAAGCAGGTCTGAGAATCCCAATTTTATATCCTTTTTCTCTTAGTCTATTGAGATAGACTTCACTCATCCACTTCGTTTGGATATATCCATTCGCTTTATATGGAAGTTTAGTAATGTCTGGGGTGTTTTCAATTCCCGAAACAGCAGCCGCGACACCAATGGAAGAGACATATAAGAAAACACCACTCGCAAGAGAACACAACTTGAAGACATTTTGTGTTCCAATGTAATTGGATTCACGCATATCATTATAACTTCTGTTCCAATTAACATAAGCCGCATTGTGTATTACAACACTGATACGTTGTGTTATCGAGTTGTATTCGGACTCGACAATACCACAGTTCGGTTTTGAAACGTCACCAAGAACAACTTCAATGTTCTCCATTTGTATTGTAACGCCGGTACTATTTGCAGCTTGTGTAATTCGCCGAATACCATCACCAATTGACTGTGAACGAACTAAACAAATCACAACGTACCCAGCTCGCTGCAACTCTTGTAATAAGTGAATCCCCAAAAATCCATTTGCGCCAGTCAAAAATGCAATTTTTTTATCGCAATGGACTGAACCCTTATTTTCTGAAAATTTATTGACACTTTCATCGATTTGCTCAAGATCTATTTTAAATTGCGGATGGATCAACTCAAGTTTCGGGTTTTTCACGTACTCCTCAAGCATTCCAAGGGTTGGGCATTTTGTTAACAAATCGAATGGCGCATCACTCACAAATTGCTTGATAAGGCCAACAGTCTGTGTTCCGACCAGTGAGTCTCCACCAACATCAAAGAAATTTGTGTCCTTTGAAATCGCTCCTTCTGGAATGTCGAACCATTGCGACCACAAATTAGCAATCTTCTTCCCAGCCTCTGTGTCTGGTTTGTTGATATTTTTAGTCGCCACATTTTCCCAAAACTTTTTGACGTTTTCAATCGCCAATTTACGTAATTCTGGCGCATAGACTTTGCCAAAACTGGTTAGTGGCATTTTCTCGAGAACAAAGATATGCGTGGGCACCGCAAAGGATACAAGCCTGTTCTTGCACCACTCTTTGAGCTCACTTTCCATGATTTCATTTTTCAACGTGACAAATGCGATGATCATTTCACCTTGTGCTCTGTCGGGTACAGAGACACATCCAGCCATAATAACGTCGGGGTGTTTCTGTAAAGTGTCGATGATTTCAGCAGGAAAGACATTGTGCCCTCCTCTAATAATCATTTCCTTCACTCTTCCCGTGATTAACATTCTTCCATGCTTGTCTAAACACCCTTCGTCACCAGTCTTAAACCACCCATCTTCTGTGTAGCTTTCTTTGTTTGCCGTTGGATTGTTCAAGTACCCACTCATCATGATTTTGGTCCGAACTTCAATCTCCCCAGGAACACCAACGGGGGTTGTTTTCCGTGTTGTGTGATCCACTATTCTTAATTCATAATGACCTTGGACTTGTCCTTCTGTTAGGGACATTGTGTACATCACTCCTCTTTGTTATTCAACATGTCGAGTTAATAAAATGAACGATATTTAATAAAACAAACCACACAACTCGGTCATTCCGTATCCCGATTTACAAGTGATCAAATCCATCTTCTCTTTGGCTTCTTTGAGTAACGCATCTGGTACAACAGCACCGCCCATCACAACGTGTTTGATAGTTTCAAATTTTTCTTTAGAGAAATTGGGGTGATGGAGGACAGCCAATACCCCCGACGGTGCACAATTGAAGTTTGTGACGTGTTCCTCCACAATAAATTGCATGATGCTGACTGGTTCAAATTTGTCGACAACAATCACTTTAGCACCAACAGCAAATATAGCGTCAATCTGGAAGTGTGCAGCTGTTGTGAATAAAGGAGTGAAACACAACGCGACTCTGATATTAACAGGGACGTTATAAGACATGTCCATAGTCAAGAATGGGTTAACCATCGCAAAGTGTGAGTACACACAAATCTTTGGTTCCCCAGTCGAACCCGATGTGCAGCCATAAAACGAGAACTCAGACGATTTCAATGTTTGAGCGACGCTCTCCACGTAGTTTTTCTTTGATTGGATATTAAGAAAGTCGTGAAGCAAAAAACAGTTCTCTGGGACGACGTCAACTTGTTGGTCTATCAAAACAAACGAACAACCCTCAGCTTTGGGGAGGTTTGGTAACATCCTCATCATCGTGACTACAATGGAAGGTTTGACACGTGGGAGTAATCGTTCTAATTGTGGCTTTGTGTACAAAGGATTGAGTGGCATAAAAATGTATCCACCACAAACAGAAGCCAATTCAGCGTAGATGTACTCTAATACGTTTGGTAAATAAATAGCAACAACAGATTGGTGGGGGATTTTAATAGTCTCAGAAAAGCCTTGAATGATCCGGTTGACCTTTTCTAATAACTGCGAATACGTGTGACGGATGTTTGCTTTTGTCATTGCTGAGCGGAAAACAAGGCACTCTCGGTCTGGGTTTGCAGTTACTGTGGACAAAAAGTGTTTTGGGTAAGTAGTGTCTTGGAGTGGAATTTTAGTTGAACCTACGAGGTGGGATTCATCTAAATGTGTTGGTGATGATAAAGATGCCATGGTATGTTTTTTTTCAAAATTTGGAGTTTATTAAGATCAATAGAAAAATGAGAAGGTACTCATTAGTTAAAAAATGCATTATTTGTATGTTTTTCATCACTAATTTTGGTATTTCCAATTCATTGGTATAATAATCGAATTGAAGTTTTTTAAATTCTTTAATACTTTAAATATTAATTATTTTAATTAAATAATTGTGGTTATACTCAAGTATATTAATAATTAACTATACTAATAATAAAAAACATCACAAACAAATAAACACAAGCACTTAAAACCCGATAATAATTATCGGGTCAACAACATCATTTTAGTCCAAATATTAATTCATAACTTTGTTATTTGTATCAATAAAAATGCTTTTTCGTCGCATTCCTCTTTTTAATTTTTTTCATTTTATTAAAAAAGAATCAACTTTTATTATTTTTAAATTATAATTATAATAACAGTTTTCACTTTAAATA